CCGTGGCCCGCCGGGCCGGGCCGGGCCGGGCCAAAACCCGGCACCTGGCCATGTCTAGTGAGAAATAACTCCATAACGACTATTTCTTTCAGCTCGTTACATAGTTAATTTACCTAATTAACTTTGAAAATTCAATTAATTAGGGTTAAGAGATAAGTAGTGTATAATTTTTTGGCAATATATTGTACTCTCTCAAATTTTTATTATTTGTCGTTTTGAAAAGCAACACGCTAATTAAGAATTTTTTTTCTTGTCAATATTAACCATATTTAATGGATGTTATGAGAAACTATGGAGATGAGATATGAAAAGACACTGTGCATTGATGGAGGGTTAAAAATGGAAAAATATAAATAAAATAGTCAAAACAACATTTATTTAATCAATGATCCATTAAGCCAAGGTGACAAATAATAAAAATAGGAGGGAGTAGCTTTCTTTTATTGTGGTGACCATAATATAAGGAGCAAATGTTGCAGATAACATGCAATATGGACGGACTGCAGATATAACATGATTCATGAATAAAACGCCATAGTAAAATAAATTTCGAAGTATTCTCACTTCCATTTTTAAGACTGCAAATGTATGGACTATAGAGACGCAGTCAAGCCCAGCAGCCCAGAAGCCCATCTCAACCCAACCAAGCCCATATACTCCAACATCCAAAACGACGTCGGTTTCCGCCGCATTCAAGGTTCAAGAAATTTAGCAGATTCAACGGGGTCAACATGGGAAAAAAGACAAAAATACATCATGGGCGGGAAATGGAGCCGTTGTCCTCTGAAAATTCACGAAAATTGGCGGTAAAGTCTCTCAGTCCCAAATTTTTTGGCTGCCCGAAATTTCCACGGGCAGCCTCCAAAAAAGGCCCCCCTCTCAATTTCACACTCACATTCTGTACACAATCTCATACTATAATAATAATTTAGAGAAGTGCTAAGGTACCATTACGGAACCATCCCGTCGGGAGTTTTAACCGTTAGATCATCTATCTTATACTAACTACATGTGTATCAAACGGTTAAAACTCTCAACGAGATGGTTCCGTAACGGGACCGTAACATTTCCCAATAATATTTATAATAAACCTCCATTTTCCATTTACGAACTGACCTTTTATAAACACACCTCCAAATTAGGTTTAGCTTATTTTTTTCCTCTCCCTCTCTCTCTTCATTTTCTCTCTCCTACCCCCAAATATAAAAAGCCCGTTGAAAGCCCGAAACCAATTCTCCTTTTTTGCCGCCATTGTTCCCCTTGTTTGAAGCTTTACTACTCTCTTCTCTTGAGAGATCCCTTCAAATTTCCTTTCGTTTTATTCCTTCTTTACTTATTCTGTGATTTTCAAGCTCTCTTTAGCTCACACACAAACACACAAAAAAAGGGATCTTTTTTCCTTCTATTTTGTGATTTATATAACCTTTTGAGCCAAGGAATTTGTTCTTCACCAAAAACAAAGTAATAAAAATTGAATCTTTTTTCAGTTTTTTCACATGGGTTTTTCGAAGAAGCATCAAATTGAAACGGGCAAAGAGTCTGAAGGAAGAAAGTGGGTTATAGCCGGAGTTGCTGTAAGGGCTCCTCTGAAACCGATATCCACAAAAGCTAGGGAGGAGGAGGACGGTGATAACGGCGGCGCGTGGCCCACAACCCCCACCGCTCGTGAATCAAAGTTGCCGGAAATATTCTCCTGCCCGCCGGCACCAAGAAAGCGCCGCCCATCTTCGAACTGCAGTTTTCGTGGTGTAAGGGAGTTCTTTAATCCTCCGGACTTGGA